TTTTTTTTGGAAAGGAATGTTCGTGGGATGGCCGGCTGGCCAAATGAACATATATCTATCTATCTATCTATCTATCTATCTATATGTATATGCGGGTAGGACGAGGATATTTCTGTACGTCTTTTTTAATTTTATTTTTGTGGATCTTCTTGGAAGACCGCGATGGACGAAATAAACAAGTCGATCACAAAAAAAGACGCATTTTGTTTATTTTTGCTTTTTTTTTCTTTGAAAAATGCCCACTGCTTGCGACGGGGGTCTTGTGGCTGGAAGAGCCCGAATTCTGCCAATTTGTAAGGAACAAATGCCTCCAATCCGAATGGAGGGCAACATGTCACGACGGTGATACGCGAATACACATATCTATCTATCTATATATCTATACCGTACTAGGAATAAGCATTGAGTATGTGGCAGAACTACAGTTTTTTCCCTTTGCCCTCCCTTTTTTTTCCTACTTGATGCATATATACATATATATGCTTATAAAGATAATCTCAGGATCCGGCCAGCAGTCCACATGTGAACATTTCCAGGGCTATTCTGCGTTTGGGCGGTGTGTCGCGCCTAAACAATTCCTACCGTTGCGAATATGTTGTTCGTTGCTTAAGCAGAAGAAATAATAATAATAATAATAATAATGAAATAAAGCTGCGGCGTTGGGCGAGCGGGGTGATGTGCCCACCCGAAGTAGGCAAGGTTTTTTTTTTTTTTGTATTTGTGTTGAACCAGTGGGTCCTTCTCATTGTGTGTTTTTTGTCTTTTGTTTTTCCGCAGTGTCTTTTTCATGTTTTTTTTTTACTCTTGCCTAGTTGTTGATGACGGGCAACAGGCTTCATTCTTTTGGTCTTCTGCGTGGCGGCTTTCCGCTTTCGCTGCGAGGTGGTGGTCGTGGTAGTGCGACGTGTGTCCGCATGCGCCGGCATGCGGCATGGGATTTTGGATTCACTTGGACGTTGAGGAGCGCCAAGATGCCGTACTCGCATGAATTCCATGGAGGCCACATACGCAATCCTTACGTGGAGCAACGTCTTTGTGCGTGGCGGCAACTCAAGTCAAAAGTCACGGAATCGGCCACTTCTTCATGTGCAGTTGGAGTCGCTGGGCCAACAAATTTCCGGCCACTATTTCATTTATTAACTGCAAAAACGCGTAGCGCCCTAGAAGAGTCCGCGGAGAACTTTATCCAGGGTGAACGTCGTCGTCTATACGCCATTTATCGACCCTCGCCAAGCGGAGATGACTCATTGATGCCCTCTCCATACGACTATGTTTGCGTCCTTCAGAGGCTAAGTGCGTGTGGCATGGGGGTTACTTCCAAGATTGTGTATTTGATTCTGGTGGAATTACTGAAGAAACCGCTGCATCCCTCTCAGGCAGGAACGGAGTGGGACCTCCCGGAGGAGGCGACGGTGAATGTGCAGGCAAGAGCACTGGAAGCGGTGATGTCCGGCCTGGAAGGTCGCGACGCCTTGGCGTTTGCGCAGAGCTGCCTCATGCCGCCGCTCTCCTCGACTACTGGCACGGATGGGAGTCGTCATTCTGGTGAGATGGTGCTTATTCACGCCATTCATCGGCAGCTGAAGGGTAGTGGCGTCAATCCCACTCCTGTGGGAGTGAACGGTAGGATCATCGATGGTAGATTGATTGTGACGCCCTTTGTGGTGGCTGCTGTGGCGGCAGCTTTGATTCGGTGTAATACAAATACGAAGAAGCAACAGGCGTTTGAGCTCTTGCAGCTTGCATCCATTGCCCGGCTGAGGGGCCTGAATTTATTTGATGAGAACGTTGCTGAGAGATGTGCTGAGGCTGCCGCTCTCATTGGTGACGCGGAGACGGTCACACGGATCATATTTATTTTGTACCGCGCTCGCGGGGTGCTGGGTCAGTCAGTTAGCTCAGAAAACGCCGCGGGCGAAAATGCAGACGACGGTGTGATTAATAGTAAAGGCAAGGGCGGTGGCTCGCTTTGGGATCGTGTTTTTTTGGGTTTGGGCCTACCAGCTTCGGCGGAGAAGCGCACGGAAGGCGATGGAGATGCTGCTTTTCGCCGAGCAACCGTTCGTCTCTTGAAGAGTGTTATTCACGCTGCTCTGCGCCGCCCCAATGCCACTGACTCTCGCGAGGAGTCGTTGACCGCTATAAGAGAGGCGGTGCGTCTGTTTGGTTCTTTGCGTATGGGATGTGACTGGGACGGCACCGCTTCAATGGCTGTGGAGCTCCTTACGCAAATGGGTGTGGAGACACGGAGGTACCTTGATCATGAACCACACGATGGGGACATGGAACCGCTCTTTTATCTCCATCGGGAGGCGCTGCGAGTCGTCATTGTGCTTTGGGACGCTCTGCCATCTCGTCCCTCAGCGTATCAGCACTCAGTGTATGCAGCGTGCGCAGCCCTAGCAATGAAATGCTACCTCGTTGAGGTTTCGATCAGCACGGAGAATGGTATGACGGTTCCTGTGCTGGCAGTGCCATTTTTTTCTTCACGAATCAAGCAGCTAGACTATTTGTTCGCTGCTATAACCGCGACGTTGGATCTGTTTGATTCTATGTCGCCTGAATGTCAAGTACAACAAATGCATCTGGCCGTGACCTTTTCCGCTGCAGCCGTGGCCATTAGCAGCGTCCGACCCAATGACGGATCTATTATTGAGCATATCTTTTCTCGCCTGAAGGAACTGTTTTTTCGGACAGGGTTGCTGACAACGAACCCAACGGATATGATGAGTCGGTTCTCATCGCTTGGTGACCAGGGCACTGTTTGTGGGGCTTTATGGCTTTATATGGTTTTGTCCGCGGGCCTGCTTCCTGTCTTATTGGGAGAAGGAGAAAAAATGCACGCTGGTGAGGTCCTGGGAGAGGGAATGGACAAATGGGTGGCAAGCGCTCTTCCGAGTCAACGAAGGCTCTTGTGGGAGCTCTTGTCAAGTCCGGTTTTCCACGCATACTTTTCGCTAATGCCGTCTCTTCTAACTGTGATGGTTTCTGCAGTGGAGCTCGCTCTGGACACTGCTCGCACCTCTCCCGAGAGGCGATCCGAGGCTGTGGCTATGCTGCGATTTCTTTACAGTCAGAGGTGGTGCGACAGCGTCGCAGACGCTACAGCTCGTGCAATTGCTGATAGGTTGCTTAGCTCTTTGCTGCGATTTGGTGTGACCACCGCATCTGCGACCGACATAGCTGAGAAGTGTTCAAGCGACTTGGAGACGAATTTTGCCTCCGAGGAAGTCATACTAGTAATTGGGGCATCGGGCATTCAAAATGCACGCGGCACAAAGCGGGATTTGTTGGAGCTACTACGTGAGATGGCATCGAGCTGTGAAACCGCAGGCGTGTCTCTCCATGTGGGATCTTCTGGAGCCTTTACGCGTCGATTGATTTTGACGCTAGACGCCGTGATATTATTGGTGGAGTTGTCATTGAGGATCGACGATGGGAAATGTATTAATGAGGGGGCATTGGAGGTGTTGTCTTGGCTTCAGCAATGTCCACCGTTGGATCCACTCTTTCACCAAGTGCTCATCATGACACCCAACTCCCGCGTAGCGTCGTTGTCGGTGGAAATGGCGCGTGAACGGCGTTGCTCTGTCTGGAGTCAAAGGTTTAGGGATGGAGTGGGTGAATCCTGCGCCATTGCATTAGCTCTCGCCGACAGAATAACGAACCCAGCGCAGGCCAGCCGGGTCGCCGTGTTTTTATGGGATAATGATGATGAGGATGGTGCTGACGATGGAGCAGGAAGGCATACGGGGGCGAAAACGCGTTACGCTCTTCTTTCGCGCCACGGCGTGAGGCCATTGTCACGACGAAGAGCACAGGTGCAGCGTGCCAAGGCAGACGTTATGGAGATTCTACGAGCCTCCTTTCCTCCGGAGTCCTTCACGGCGCGTCACCGGCGTGATCAGAAAAAGTTATGTGTAAAAAGTTCTTTTGAGCGGCGTGGCGTCGTCAGTCCTTCGTCTCACATTCCATGAATTCTGGGCTTTTGCAGCATCACATTCCGTTTCCCTCTGACTCTGAAATTTTCCGTTTTTTTTTCTTTTATCTCCCCTTTACATTTGCCTTGGGTTTCCTTGCCCAGAAGTTTGACATTCTTTTCCTTTTGTGTGTTGTATTGTTTATATATATATGTATATATGTATATTTTTCTTTTCTGTTACTTTTAAAGTAAATACTAGCATCGTGTTTGGAGACAGAAAACAGAATTTTGCAAGAATGAATTTTTGGCCAAGTCAATCAAAGGCAGCGGAACGGCGCAAGGCTGCCGGTCACTCTCCCGTGGACGAGATGCAGCGCTTCCGCATGCTTGTGTGTTGCATGTTCTGTGGCATTTGCACGTCCCTTATCTACGCCTTTGACCTTTTCACAACGGACTTTTCGAACAGGTTCAATCTCAGCGCCGGTGATCAGTCGACAATCAGCACGGTGGGGCTGGTATTCTGCTACTTCACAATACCATATGGTTTCCTGTATGACTACGGTGGTCCCTTTCCCCTGCTAATTGTCTGCGTACTTACGGCCGGGGTTGGGGCGCTATGTCTTGGACTGACGTTTGACGGTGTCATCACGGGGAATTTGGCAAGCATTTCTGTTTTCTACGCCCTGATGAACATCAGCAGTGGCGTCATTGACGTTGCCTACATTGTGACTCTGGCAGAGACGTTTCCTCGTAACCTTGGGCCCATCATCGCTCTTGCGAAGGTGATGGTTGGTCTTGGATCCTCCGTGCTGGCCTCCATCAGCGTGAATCTCTTTCGCGGGAACATCTCCGGGTTCATTTACTTCATCATGGTGTACTCTGTTGTTGTGTGCAGCGTGGCGGCCTTCGTGGTGGTACTTCCCCCGTACTTTATCAACGGATGGCGTCGCCGCGGCAAGACTGAGGAGCAGATTGCCGCCCTGAAGTCCCTGGAGCCTGCGTATCGCCGCCAGTCTGTACCCATTCGTCGCCTTGCCGTTGGCTATGCCGTTGTGGCCCTGCTGCTGGTCTTCCTCAGTGTCCAATCGCCCGTGGTGAGTTACACTAGGGTCTCGAACGGGGTTTCGACCGCCTTTGGCGCCATTACGATCGTGCTTGTGCTGTCTTTCTTCCTGATGCTGCTGCCTGTCCGTTGGCTTGGGGGCATGGACGATCGTGCCGGGGATGAACCCATGCGGGCCATTGTCTCGGAGGAGGCGG